GTTTCGCCCAGTCACGGACATGCTGTCTGTGATGATTTTGCCTAAAAATCGCCACGGATCTACAGGAGCTGTGACGGTTCCTGTACAATTTTTTGTGTAAAAAAAATCCCATCTTTGACAGTCTTTAATCCACGCTGTCCGAAAAAAATTAACGGTGCTGAGCCTATGGGTGAAAATAGTGTTTATTTTCGTCCATTCACGTTTTGTAGTCTCTTCCATATACATAATATATATATATATATAGTGCGTTTCAAGCTGTCTAAATAGCGATTGAATGCAGGTTAGGGAATAGGTGAAAAAGTGGGTGTATATAATGATACTGACATCGAGTGTTAAGTTTATTTGATTAGATGCCTTTCACTGATGTACCTAAGCATATTGAAGGGATTAGATTGCCTCGGCCTAGCCGAAGTGCGAGTCCTTTCCCGACCGACTACCCACCGCTTAGCAACCCGAGCACAGAACGAGGGATTTACCCAGGCCGAGTGAGAGCCTAGCTCATTGAGCCAAGCCGAGTCCCTTCGGTAGATTACTGGAAAAGGGTATAAACTATATGCATTATATAGTCTTGCTGCTCTTTCATTGACCATTTATGTGTCGGGTCGACCTGACAGGATTTCAAAACCACCTTCGTGATCAGGTGCGACTGCGTTTGTTGCTACCATAGGCTTATGTTCGGTCGAGGGAAGGCTTACCTTTGCTCAGAAGGAGCCTTTTCGTTTTTCTTCCTCATGATAGAAGAGGGATGCAAGCACTAAGACTTCTTTATGTCGCTCTCGATTCAAAGCTTTCCCCCTTCGAATCAAATAGGGGATATTTTTGCATCAATATATATTTGGAAAAACTAGCTTTTTAGGATTTCAAGGAGTCATGGTAGGTGTTCCAAGTGACCGAAAGGCTGTCGCTAAGGAAGCAGGAAGTACTGCTAAGGACTCCGTGAGTTTTGCTAAGGAAGCTGACCATAAGTGGTTTCCTTTAAGGTTGTAACCCGGATCAAAGGTGCTGACTACCAGTTACCAAAAGCCAGCCACAAGGGGCTTCCTTTCCTGGCCAACTGAAGGTGTTGGCTTCCAGTAAGGAAGCCGGTTGAAGATGGCATGCACGACATGACTTTCTTGATATTAGTATGTTCACCTTTGAATCTTTGATGCTCACCTTACTAGGCTATGCCCCTTGCCCATGCACACATGTTTAGTCTTGATGGCTCTTCTCTAGTCTAGTCCACTCAAGACCCACTTGGCAACCTAACCACAAAAGAGAAAGCCTTCTTGCCAAAAAGAACACAGGACCTCTCCACCTTACTAAATTGAGAATAGTGGTCGATCTATGAGTCACACAAGAGAGCTACAGGCAAAAAACCAAAGAAGACAAAGTGGGGCACATATTGTTCAGGCGATAATGATATTATCTTGTACTTGAACCAGTGCTTCACGTTTTTCTAAGTAATGGGGAAGAGGACCAAAACATGCCACTGAAAGACTCTATTGAGACAAAGATGGGCTGTCAAGAACGTAGAGGAGGTAGGATGGGCAGTTGGTCAGATCTAGTATGGATCGTACATGGACGATAGTTAGAGTCAACGGCTCTCTTAGGCTTACCTCATCTATGATCCTTGGGAAGAGGATTAAGTTGGCAACTTGAATTCACTATCTCTCTTCAAACCCTTTGAGCGAAATGTGGTAAAAGGAAGAAAAATCCATGGGCCGACGCAATCGTCTCCACCCCTAAGGAACTACGAGATCACCCCTAGGATATATATATACATATATATATATATATATATATATATATATATATATTTATATTTATAAGGGTCAAAGGGTCTTGGTAAAGGATGATAAGGTCAACAAAAGGTGGAGAGTCTATTTTCAAAAATTACTAAATGACGAACAAAATGGGAACTTAGTGGTTGAAGGGATTGTTGGTACAAGTGACGGTGGAGGGCATAGATACACTTGTAGGATTAGGATGTCGGAAGTTAAAGACGCTTTGAAAGGATGAAGATAGGAAAGGCTTTAGGACCAGATGGTATCCCAATGGAGGTTTAGAAGTGCATGGGGAAATTGTCATCAACTGGTTGACAAAGCTAATCAACAAGGTGTTGAGAACAATGAAAATGGCAGACGAATGGAGAAAAAGTATTGTGGTACCTATTTATAAGAACAAATGAGACATACAGAATTGTGCAAAGTATCGAGGGATCAAGCTTATGAGCCATACTATGAAGCTTTGGGAAAGAGTCATTGAGCAACGACTAAGGTATGAAACGAGTGTATCTGAAAATCAGTTTGGTTTTATGCCAGGAAGGTCAACAATTGAAGCTATTTTCCTACTTAGGCAACTGATTGAGAAGTTTAGGGCGAAGGAAAAAGACCTCCACGTGGTCTTTATTGATTTAGAGAAAGCTTATGATAGAGTACCTTGAGATTTAATTTGGCGGGTATTGGAAAAGAAAGGCGTCTCTAGACACACATCGACTTGATGAGAGATATGTACGAGAAAGCGGTTACTAGTGTACAAACAACTAGTGGAGAGACGATTGAGTTTCTGTGACTATAGATCTACTGAGCATTGAACCCGTATCTCTTTGTCTTAATTATGGACCGCTTAACTAGGCACCTATAGTATGAGGTACCGTGGTGCATGTTGTTCGCAGATAACAAAGTTTTGATTGATGAGACCCGAAACGGCATCAACACAAAGTTAGAACTTTGGAGGGATGCTCTAGAATGGAAAAGTTTTAAATTTAGTCGGACTAAGATAGAGTATATGGAGTGCAAATAGGAGTAGAGACGAGGAAGTAATTAAGATTGATGGCAAAGAAGTACAAAAAACACCACGCTTTCGATATCTTGGGTCAATAATCCAAGAAAATGGAGAGATCAAGGAAGATGTCGCACAGAGAATTAGAGCTGGGTGGGCGAAATGGAGATGTGCAATTGGAATTTTATGTGATCGTCGCATACCAATGAGGCTGAAGGGCAAGTTCTATAGGACAACGATGAGACCAGCTTTGCTTATGGGCGGAATGTTGGACAGACAAAAAACAATATATCCATAGAATGAGTGTAGTGGAGATGAGGACGTTGAGATGGATGAATGGCAAAACAAGAAGGGATAGAATTCGCAATGAATCTATTCAAGAGAATTTAGGCGTGGCACCAATAGGCGATAAAATGAGGGAGAGTAGACATAGGTGGGCTGGCCATGTGTGGCGTGGACCAAGTACAGCACCTGTTAAGAGGTGTGAATTAGTTCAAGTGGAAGGACTGAAAAGGGCAAGGGGTAGGTCCAAAAGTACGTAGTTGAAAGTAGTCCAAAAAGATGTGGGGACTTACGACCTCTTCGAGGATATGGCCTTTAATAGAGCAGAATGGAGAACCAGGATTCATGTAGCTGACCCAATTAATTGGGAAAGGGCTAAAGTGATGATGATGATATATATATATATATATATATATATATATATATATATAA